AACAGCAACAAGGGGCTTTTGATGCAGAGAAGAATCAAGATACAAAAGTAGAGCATTCATTGTGTTCAGTATGTCCGCACCAGAAAAGCCATTTAAGAAGGAAATAACATCATTTCTGCGACAAAAAATATTAGGGAAAAAAAAAGTAATTCATAGATGAAAGGAGCAATATTAGCGATCATAAGAGCTATAAACTTTTCAGGAACTCAAATTATATAGTGCTATATATACCAAAGTGCCTGAAGGAATTACCCTCAACAATTTGTTCAACATGATGTCACAATGATTTATAACTAATTATCCTTTGGGTACGAAAAAGAACGGAATCATTTATCCTATTAGAGTTTTAAAGCCATTATGTTGATCTAAGAATTTCATCCTTTAGGTCAAGTGGTTCATTGACATGATACCAAAGTCTAATTGATCAAATAATTTAGAACGCAACCCTCATGACCATAAGTGTTACATTTAATTTTCAGTATAAAGCACAATTTACCTCCGATAGCTGCAAGACTCTATGGTATGCATTTCAATTCCAATGGATTTTCACCTCCTTAACATGTAGAGCTAAACAATACTTCCCCCTTGTTTATTAATATTGTACAAGTAAGTAATTGAGCACAAACAATATGCCAAAGTCCAGATGTGCTTATGCCCCCTACTCAATTTATGTATCTACATGTTTCTATTTTAATTTTGTTTTATAAATTTTTCAGTGGTAATGATTATAGATAAGATTAGACTTTAAACTTTTACAGGTGCTGTACCAGATATTCTACTTTATGAGTTAGAAATATTTGACTTTCGGAAAATAATAATACTTTTTGTTTGTGTAATATGCTAAAAAGTATTACCGTAAACATTTAAAATTTAAAGACGGAAAAACACTGGGGTATAACAGCCGCTTTAATGGAGAACCATATTTATTGATAACCCCTTAAAGAGTTAGAAGCTGTGAACAAAGGAGTTGATAGTCAAAACTGAGTTGTTTCTAAACTATCAAAGACAGATTAGGATGCATGCTTTTCCATTTGCGTAGATAAATGAACAAACACGGAAAACATTGAGAGTCCAAATATTCTCCAATAAATAATTTATTTCATCTTAAAGAGAGAACTAGAAAAATTGAGCCTTTTATTGCGTGTCACCCTCTCTGCAAACTAAAGGAAAGAGGCTTCCAATCATGTAAGACCACTAGTAATATAATATAATAAACTTTTGAAGTTGAGGTAGCTGACAAAACCCAAGAAATATAGAAAATAATGATAATATTCACCTTTTAAGAGAGAATAATTCAGTAAGTAATGAAATTGTGCTTGTTCTTGGGGCAACATCCTTGCTTTGAAGAAGGTCAAGAAGACATTTTTATCAATGTTTCTTGCGATCTGATGCATGCAACTAGAATCTGCTTCACTGCAATGTAGCAATAGTGCCAACACATGTGTTTTCTCTTCCGCATTTCCTAATTCAAACCTCCTAAAAAGAAATGACAGGAGCCCTATAGATATGAGTTGCTTGACATTAATTTGTTTTGTTTACTCCATCCAATGAAGTTAAAGAGACTCTCCAAATTAAAAACAGAGGCCGCATCATGTTTCAGTTTATGGCTTTCTTTGCCCACAATTTGAGAAGCAAAATCCAGGACGTGACTAAATTGTTCTGACTTCCAATTATCAATCAGACGCTTCAAACAAGGTTAGTAAATGGCAGGGCACCACAATGTAAACTATTTCCAGACACAGGGCAAGTTTTCTTTCCCTTTTCAAACCAGGCTTTAATGGCTGCTCGTTCAAAGGTTTGACCAGTCTCAAGGGTAGTTGGTTCCCTAAATAAAGTTCCAGTCAAAGGACAAACGAACTCCTGTGGAACAGTTGGAAAATATAATCCTGCAACAAAGTAGTTATGCACTTCATTTACCACTCATCCCTTGGATTATGATAGAATAAGACATGATTTCTCATGGAACTTAAATTAATGAAATGTAATTATTTTTTACCTTTAGGAGAAGAGCTCGTCTCTGTTGGCTGCATGTAAATAATTAGGTCAGAAGAGGTCACAAGGGAGAGGGGGGGGGGGACACTATCAAACTATAGAAATTAGCTAAGAATACATTACATTTACAACAGAGCTGGAGACTGATTCCTCACTGGACAGTGAAACAGTAGACACAAAATGCCTTTTGGCATCTTGCATTCCTAAAACAGATCCTGTCACTTCATTAAGAGTGACTTCCTAGTTCTCTCATGCCATAGATCATCTAGCATGTTGCTTTCTACACGAGTGAAAGAGTAAGGAATATCATCACTGACACTTTTCCCCTGCCATTTTTGTTCATCTATCATTGAGGTTCCCTTCTACACCAAAAACAAATGTGAGGATATGTTAGATGCAGTCATGCAGAGCAAAAGAAAAGAGAAAACAAGTATATGTGACTCCAATCAATAATTTATTGAAAAAAGAAAACATGCCATAAATATCATGACATAACTGCAAAAAACAAAATCCAATATCATTATTGTAGACCAGTAAAATAACCTATTCACTTTACTTATTTGCAGTTGTAGGTACACATTATTATCATATGGTTAAACAGAAAATAGCAATACCAATGCAATCTAAGGAATAAGATGAAAAGAAATAATAAAATGAGAGAATCAAAACATACAGTATGGCGCTCAATAGCAAGTGTCATCTTATTAAAATCTTCTTCAGTATCTTCATCTGTATATTTAACCACTTCAGAGACAAACGTTAATTTTTGTTCAGCAATAGATGAACCGTGTGAGTGTCTCATGCAGCTCTCTAAGTTATCTTCCATTGTATGCTCTTCCTCCTCTTCCACTCCAGCTTTACTCGAGCTACCAAAGACAGAATCATACAGTTTTTTGCTGACCATTGGCTGTGTGGTGAGAACGAATCAACAGACGAAGCCAATTCAGAAGAATGACCAAGGGAACTTCCTAGCCGACTTTCTAAAGCAGATATTGATGGAATGGTGACAGAAGGAACTGACGGAGCTTCTGCGCCTTCGGTGAGCCAGTCTTTGTAGTATACAGCAAATGAATAAGTCCCAGAATCCAAATGCTCATTATACACCTTTTCAAGATGCTTTATTTTTCTCGTTTTGCTTGGCATATCAACTAGAATATGAACTTCCCTGTTGTACCATGCCTTCAAATGAGAAAGATGTGGAGAAAATAAGTACTCCCACAATTCAGGCAGCAATGTTGTCCGCGCCTGAGAAGGTGAATCACAAAATACTTGCAAAAGATGCTTCGCTGATATCTTATCCTTTCTCTGTATCTTATATACAACACTGAGGTAAAGATGAGCACAGGCTGACAACTTATAATTTGGAATCCCACATGTAATACCATACTTCAAATCATTTAAGCTTAGACCTGTAATAATGCTTAGCTGCAAAGAGGTCCTTTTCAATTCTTTTTGAGATACAGACTCCTTGGCAGCTTCTTCTATTGTATCAATAGCTTGTTCAAGACTTCTTATGACTTTGGTCTCAGTACCGTTCTCGTCTTCCAGTTCAATGAAATTCAAGGAAGAAAAACAATTGTGATGGATTGTAGTCCGAAAATCTTCATCTTTTAGAAAGCGTTTTATATAACCATTGAGAATAGAAACAACTGCTTGTACAGCAACTTCATCAAGAGCTAGATCAGCAGGTGTCTGCGTTGCAAGACCATGCTTTTTATTATAACTATTTTCAAAGCTTCCGCTAATTGATCTACTGCGTGACCTGTCTTGTTGCTTATATTCTTCCTTGTATTTCCACTCAACTGTCCAACCATAAGTGTGCTAGAACTGCTGCCATGCCTCTTATCCAACTTTGCATCCTTGACCAGCGTCCCATGCCACTTCTCCCTATACCTGAAATCAATGAAATCTTTTTCTTTCCCTCTATTTGCAATCAACAATTCATTGGAATATATATCTTTAACTCTATTATCTTTTTGCTCACCCACTTCAATTATCTCTTTCCTAGGTATGCGTGCTGATGTTTGCTGTCATGGTTTTTACTTAACTTCGTGTTGCTGGAAGATTTCTCAACATTTTCATTCTTCAATCCTTCATCCAATTTATCTCTTTCAGCAAGATTATCCCTTGGTCTCCAGCTCTGAGCAGTATCTCTATTATCTCCAATCCGACATTGTGAGGCATAAGATTTTGTTCTCTCCGCTCTAATTCTGTCATCTGATACAGAAAGTCTCTTTTCTTGGTCAATGATAGAGTAATGGGGCTTGGTTACAGGATTAGACTGGAGGGAAGATCTGGTCCTTGCGATTCTTCTACTTCCCTTGAATCCTTCTTCTGCCAGAAGTTCCTCCAAAGATGAAGCCATTTACGTTGGAAATTAGATATCTACAGCAATCGTCACAAGGGAAAAAATGCCCACAGAGAATAAGGGCAATCCATAATTTAAAATAGTTTGGTCGGAAGGTATATCTTCCTGCATACAAAGAACAGAATGATAATCAGAAACAATTCAATCAAGCCAAAATATGCAACTAAGAGCTGAAGATAAGAAATGTCAATATCAGAATTTTAAACAAAAATGGAGTGATAAATAGCGTTCTTAATATTCCGGCTGAAGTGAGCTCCGTGACTAGTTAACGATAATTGTTTACGGGGAAAAGAGAATAAAACGGATAAAGAAAGATGCAATACTGATCAGAAAATTCCAATTCACCTGCACAGAAAAAGGTAAAATTAAAAACACGTCAGAATCTTTAACTAGAAGCAATTTCAAAAACGATATTCCTATTCTTCATGCTGACTTCTATCACAAGTTAACAACAATTGTGGATAAAAAAACAATATAAAATAGATTAAAAAAAGCAAGAACAGTTAAAAAAAAAATCATGTTCGCAGATGAAGTTAGGATATAACATTAAAGAAATGCCAGAATCCGTAAGAAGGATCAATTTCAGGAGGAGTGTTTGTATTATTCATGCTGTCTTCTATCACAAGTTCACAATAACTTAATATGAAAAGGAATATAAAAAGGATACAGAAAGACGCATTAATAATCCCAAAATGTTTTATCTTCTTGAAGAAAATAACTAATAAGAAATATTAGGATATGTAACAAGAATCAATTTCAGAAATCTTGTTGATCTTATTCACAATTCTTACTGACTTCCATCACAAGTTAACAATAACTCTGTATTAAAAAACAATGAATAGACAAAGAAAGACGCAATAATCATCACAAACATTCCTGTTCCGCAAAACATGAAGCTTAACACAAAATAAATATTAGGATCTGTAACTAATCATTTCGTGCTCTTATTTACTATTACTGAGACTTCCATCACAAGTTTACAATAACCGTGTGGCATATCAACAAAGAAGATAAAAGAAAGACGCACCACGATGAAGATTCAGACATTTCCGTTCATCCGCAACCCATGAAAGTCGAAGCAAACACCTGAAATCCAATCGATTTGACAACAGAGTCTTCAGATCCAAGAGAAGAGAATTTGAGAATATTGGAGAGAAGCTTGAGGAAGAGAACATAGGAGAATGGAGATTGGAGAAAGTCCATGAGAGCGTCGTGCTGCATTAATTAAAGGATTAGGGGAAAAAAAACAAATAGAAAAATAGTGAGAACAAGAACAATTGGCTACAAGAGAGAATGGTGAGAGTTCAGGTAAAGAAGACGGGTAGTGACGTGAGGGAATTATTTGAATCTGTCAAGCTCTGCCTTTTGTATCATTTGTCTAGTGGATTCGGTATTGGCCGGCCGTTGTAGGTTTTAACGCTAATGAGCGCCAACTATCAATTGACGTTCATGCAGTCCACTCTTTATGTTTCTCTTTCAAAAAAAAAAAAAAAAAATCGAAAAACTTTAGGCCAATAGGCTATAAACCCATACATGATTTTTTTATTAATTTAACAGTAATATTTTTATAAAGTTCTTACTTACTTCTTCCATTAAAAAAAAAATTTTTTTAACTAAATCTTACCTCAATAAAATATTTACTTACTTTTAAATCAATTCTATCTTTTCATATTTATCCCTATTAAATACCCTACAATAAATATAAAATCATTCATCGATAGGGATACTTTTAAATAAAGACAATAATTACACCGTAAAAGACTAAAACTACATTATTTTTTTGAACATACAACATACATTTTTAAACGAAGGAAATACCATTCTCTCTATTAAAAATTAAATTTGTTGGTCAAGGCATGAGTTTAATAATTTAATTATCAAAATTATAGTTCAACTATAATCAAATTATCATGAATAAAATATTTTATTAACTAATCAATATACTAATTCAATATTTTATGTTACGAATATATATATATATATATATTGAACAAAAAATTACTTTTAAAGATTGTCCTATTTGTTAAAAGACATTAAGTTATTTTAAACCTAAGACTTAGGTATGAACATAATATTACAAAACAAGTCAACTTATCCTGGTAAATCGAATACAAAATGTTAACTAAAATTTTATAATATTAACTAATTTTTTTAATACCTAATCGGGTCCAAAATGCATTTCTTCTTGTAATATTAATTAAGTTTTTTATACCTATATTGGAGAAAGAATTATGTTAACGCACAGTTGGACGCTGCATGTTCAGCAGAATTTGAATCTTAATTTACATTGTAAGAGACTAGTCACTTACACTAAATTTAACCTCCATTAATAATAATTAACGTGGTTTGATTAAATGTTACCGATGTCCACAGGCAAGGAGAGAAAACTTTCATTTTGCCACTAGGTAACAATTTTTTTTTAATTTTTTTAATGATATACTTTTTTAGCTGGAATATAATGATCTTATTAACGCCACAAATTATGAAGATAATAATAATAAATTGTAAAACTTGAAATGAAATAAATCCTAGTTTAAATGAAGCATAGAATGTTTTTCTCTAGGTAAAGATTCCAACAAGATATCAAATTACGTCATAATCTAGGTCAGATCACAAAAATATCCTAGGCAGTCTGCATGTCCATTATTTTATTAGCTACTTCAAAATCTTCGAGACAATGTTAGCCTTAAAGTATGTCGCTGTTTTTTTCACGTTTATTTTTAGGAACAATAGCACTTAAAGCCCTCAGATCAAAGAAATTAGCATCTAAGGCTCAATCAATATATTTTGAAATTACTCTTCAAGCCCAAGGGCCTTAAATGTAAATATGTTTTTTTTTTTTTAAAAGGACTCATTTGCCCCTCATTTGAAAAAATAATATCATGCACAAAAATATTATGTTGTTAATATATGGATCATATTAGGGGTGTTCAATCTGGATCCGTCCCGATTGGTCCGGTATCGTCCCGATATGATCGGGACGGGTCTTGTCCCGGTCTAAAATAATCGGGACGGGACTTTACGGGACGGGATACAGGATTACCATCGGGACGTCCCGTCCTGTCCCGAATATTATATATATTATTTTTTATTTTAAATATATTAATTATATTAATATAATTTATACTTATATTAATTATATCAATTATAATTTTAATACTTACAATTCTTATTTAAAATTAAAGTGTTTTTATATTGATAATTTTAATGGCATGAAGTAAACATGGCGATATCTTTTTTATAATATATTAATTATATTAATATAAATTTATTCTTATATCTATCTATTTAATAACTTTTATTTATAACATATTTCTTGCTTATTTTTAAAAGAGTAATTAGCTTAGTACATCTTTACTAAAGTAGAAGAATAATTATTTAATGTTGTGTTTGACTTGCCTGTTGTTGCTAATCTTATAGCATAAAGATCACTTGTATTTTTTATTATAATATGTAGTTGTGATTAATATAATTCAATAATTGATTTTAAATTATTGTTATTTATGTACTTGTGTTATTTTAATTTTAAACTTAATAAATTATATAATTTAAAATTTTAATGAACATTATTATTCAGATCTTTTTTTGATATTATTTCATTTATCGGGACGGCGGGACGTCCCGATCTTATCCCAGTCCCGTCCCGAATCTTAATGGGACGGGACGACTTTCGGGACGGGACGGGACACGGGACAAAATTCAGTCCCAATTTTTTTTTTGGGACGAGACACAGGATGGGGGTATCCTGGTCCCGTCCCGTCTCGTGAACACCCCTAGATCATATCATATTATATATGGACATTTTGCTATCCATACACTTATAAAACTTATATATTATTATTCAATTAAACCACATAGATTATGTAAAATGAACGAATATTGTATTATTAATATATAGAATTGTTATATTATACATAGCCATTTTATTTTTTATACACTCAAGAAACTTGTATATTATTGTTCAACTAATCTACATCAATTATGCATAATGAATAGACATTGTGTTATTAATGTATGAATTTTGTTGTATTATATATGAACATTCTATTATTCATTCACATGAGGAACTTGTACATATTCAACTAAACCACACAAATTATATACAATGAACAACCATTATATTGTTAATGTATGAATTTTGTCATGTCATGTGTAAACATTATATTCTTCATATACCTCAAGAACTTGTACATATTGTTCAACTAGACTACACAATCTATATAATAAACATACATTTTGTCATTAATGTATGAGCATTATATTGTACATGCAGTTGAAATGTACATTTCAAATAAGGAACAAAAGAGTCTTTTCACTTGAGAATATATTATTTTTAGGCCTTTGGGCCTGCAGAACAAATTCAAAATGTGTTGGGCCTTAAGTGCAAATTTATTTGATTTGGAGGCCTTAGGTGTCATTGTCCTTTTTCTATAAAGCATTCCCCCAAACAAATGCACAAATTTATAGATTATATACATATATATTCCTAAAGTATAATTTTAATCTTTTAATTTTATATAAAGTTTTAATTTAATTCTTTAATTTTATAAAATATTTATTAACCCATTAATCCTAACATTTTTAATTTCAAATGATTATTTTTTATGTCAATTATTAGTATTTAAAAAAAATTAAACTTAATATGTTAATATAAATTTTTTGTTAATATTTAAAAGTTTAATGTAAAAATTATTAAGGTAAAACTAAAAGTGGTAGAGTTAAAGAACTAAAAAAATATTTTATAAAATTAAAGGACTAAAATGAAACGTCTAAAATTAAATGACTAAATGTTCACTTTAGCTTTTTTTTTTTTGCAGCTTGTATTATTTATGAGTTATGAAAAATAGTATGGCTCACTTCTCTAGCTTCATCCAACGGAACCACATTTCTGACAAAAATTAAGAGGAGAAAAAGAAAAAAAAAAGGTGGAAGCATCAAAACTATAGAGTATAAGCGTCAATATATAGCAAATATCAAGTTTGTCCACCCACACACATATATGATTCTGGACTGTCATTTAACAAGAACATGAAATACACACACTCACTAACTCACGCATGCTTATATATATATATATCCCTAGACATGGACTCACCTTGCACTGGTCTATTGTTATTATCACTCGTGGACATTTGACTCATGATGATGAACTCGAGTCATCTTCATCATCAAATCATCGCTTGTGATTTATTATTATTATTATGGTCATTATCAAACAGTGATCGTTCTATGTTGTGGTTCTGCAACTTCCTCTTCAACCGAGCGCGTCTGTTCTGGAACCATGTGTACACATTGGCCTCAGAAATTTGGCCATGGTGGCTTAGCACGGCAGTGATGTCCTTGATCTTCGCCTTGCTCGGATGAGCTCCGTCGCCTTCCTCGAATATCTTCTCCAGAATCTCGAGCTGTTTTCTCGTCGGAGCCCATCGCCTTCGGCTGCTCCATCTCTGGCCACCATACAACATCAATGGCTCTCTTTGTTGAATAATGTCTTCCAACTTCACTTCTGGTAAAGAAATTAAACATACTCAAACAGTCACTAAATAAATTACATCGTTGGATAAGTCACACTGTTTATAACTTATAAATTGAAAATTTTATCGATGTTATATATGTAGATGAGCATGCCATTGTTAGCAAGTTTGTTTGTTTCTTGGGAAAATGACTTGTAAGATCTTAAATTTTGAAAATAATGGCAAGAGAAAAATAATATATACATATATATGGATCAACATCCTAAAAGTTTCTAAATTTTAATTTGAAACTGAATTAACATGGAAATATAAAAATGAAGTTTACAGAGCTACGTCAAAACACCCCTCTTTTTCCTCCTTTCCCGCGAACATGCATCACATCATATCAACAAGTTTTTTTTTTTTTCCCCGGAAAATTAATTTTTTCTTGTTCCTTCCATTACGTTGGTAAACTAAACTTTAATTAATTTGCTTCATATGTAAAATGATATTTAAATATAAAACTAAAATTGATAAATAATAATGCTATTTACAAGTCATTAATATTACAGCTTAATCTGCTTAAATGGTATACAATACACACAAAAAAGTTCATCTCATCATCAGCACCGAGATATACTGATAACCCTAGTGGAGGACGTTGTTTAATAAAATCTCTAGCAAAATAGAAAATTTGGGACGAAAATTTGTCGCATAAAAAAGTGTCTTTCAAAAATAATTATGGATTCTGCAATAAAAATTTTGCACACACACACACACACACATATATATAGATAGATAGATAGATATCCATCACAAAAATTCCTGCAACACTCTCACTCATGACAGAACAATCCATTACAAAATCAATTTAAGACGAGCTTTTTCTTTCTTTAACTGTCATTGCAAGTTTATCTTTAATCATATGAGATAAACAATGCAATTGTTTTTCAACCTCAATGAAGACGCAACGCACGGGAAAGTAAAATCTAATTATAAAGAGAATGGAAATTAGAGGAACAAGAAGAAGAATTAGTAGGGAATTAGAAAGAGACCTAATGGAAGTGGAAGATCTTGTTGCTGCTGAAACATGAGCCTCTTGTACATATCACTAAGCTTCTCACAAATGGAGGCATATATTGCTATTTGCACTCTTAGAATCTCAATTTGCTCATCGGTCATCACCTTCCTTTCCATAATCTTCCTTAATTATATCTTTCACTGCAGATTTTCTTTCTCAGATGATCTTCTTCTTCACACTGTTACACATCCCTCAGGAGTATGTGTGAGTACGTGTGTGTGTGTGTATAGCACAACAGGGATAAGAATATAAGACTAGAGAACCCTAATCAAGAATATAAGAGTTTCCTATTTTGATTTTTGATAGATTGGGGATTAAGTTTTGGTAACATATACGTGTGTGTATATATATATATATTACAGATACCATGTAATCTTTTTGATGATGATTGAAGATTGAATAGTGTTAAAAAGTTGTATTGTTGTATAATCATCAGCTTAATTTTTGGTAACAAATTAGTAAAAAGTTTGGTTGTTTCCAAAATAAAATAATAATAAAGGTTTGGTCAAATTAAAAGCTCGATGTCGGTCACATAAAGACATTATTATATACTCTTCGGCTGCGGTTACAGGACTGGCTAGCAATGTTATGATTTGTCATGAATTAATTAATATTATAAATTTAATTAATAAATTTGGAAAATATTAATCAATTAGTCACTAATAATGACTACTATTCACGTTGGCAAGAAAAAAATGCATTGGTTTTGATGCTCCTTGCCTGATCAACAATCTGGATTGTCTATATTTTTAATTTCAACGGTTTAGATTTACAGTTTTTTTATGTGTTATTTCATATTTATTAAAATAAAAATTATAAAATTTTAATTAAATCTAGCTTATAATTAATTTGTATTGTCCAATTTGATCTCGACGATAATTTACAAACTGAAACTTTAAAAAAGATTTAAAGAAAAAGTTGCGCATTAAAAATTTTAAATCTATACTACCTAAAATATATCTAAATAATTAATTTATAAAATTTTTTAATAGTAAATTAGATCATCTAGTTTAAATATGCATTTTCTATATTTATTATAAGACGGATTTATTAAAATTTAATAATTTTTATTTTAATAAATATAAAATAAAATAAAAAAATAAAACCTGTAAACCTGGACCTTCCACATATTACTCATCACAAACAGAAAAAAGCTACCATTGACTTACTTTTAAGCAATTCTCCGTACTTTGAAATGTTTATAAAATCTCCATCTCCTCTAAAAAATAAATAAATAAATAAATAAAATCTCCTCGGCTAGAAAGAAAATAGTTTATAAAATCTCTCAAGAAGTTTCCCCGTAAAGTTCATTCCCAAAAATTCAACTTGCTTAATTGCTATGTGATCATAATGTGTGTATGAAAAATATAACCGTTGCTTCTAATATTTCAGCGTGTTTTGATGCGTCGCATTCGATAGTCATCAGATCAGGACCTTTCATTTTACCTCATCAGATTAGGTATTTTAAAATTTTATTTATCAAAATAACAATTTATAAAAATATGAAAATATTAATATTAAATATAGATTATCTTTTATGCTCATCACCCTCGATGATATCTGGATTCAGATTTGATTTTTTTTACCCTATATTTATCAAAATAAAAATTATAAATTTTTTAATAAAGTTCTTCATCACCAATCTGATTTGTATATATTTCATATGGATGGTCAAATTTAACATTACATTTTTTTATAGTTTTTACAAATTTATTATTGGGAAAATATCATCTAAGGACCATTGGAGAGTTTTTATTTTAAGAAGAAACTTAAAAATATGAAATTTCATTGCACTCTCTTGGTACTTGTATGAAATAAGATTTTATGAGAAAATACCTAATTATCCCAAAAGTTTAATAAAGTGTAGTAATTTAATGGGTTATTGTTAATTACATGTGGTTAGCTGTCAGAACTTGATTGGATGTTTGTTTATAAAGGACTAACGCTTATACAGTTAAACATATGCTATCAGTTATAGTTACATGTTAATTCTAAATGAGTTGTTGCTAATTACGTATAATTACTTGTCAAAACCTAAATAAATGTCATGCTTGTTTATACAGAACCAATACATATACAATTAAACATGTGGTATCATTTATAATCACTTGTTAATTTCAAATGAGTTATTGTTAATTACATAAGGTTATTTATCAAGACTTGAGTCGGGGCTTAATACTAGTAAAATTAAACATGTGCTATCAATTTTTTCAAGTGGTTCATTTTTGGCTGAGTTGTTGTTAATTTTGTAAAATTACTTATCAAAACTTAAACAAATGCTTATTTATGCATTCATAAACCTCTCTCTCTCTCTCTCTCTATGTGTGTGTGAGAGAGAGAGAGAGAGAGATAGAGGATGTGGAAGCGAAATTATGCTAGTTTATATATAGAGCCCTGAAACACAACAAAAACATAATAACAAAAAGAAAGGGATGAAATTTATGATGAGAACAAAAAAAGAAATGAAATAAACAATAGGATGATGATCAAGGAGGCCTTTGAAGACATTACAAGAGTTGATCATGCTCTTGATCATATCCGTTTTTCATATGAGATGCTACTACAAAGTATTAAGGCTCACAAGAATTATAAACTTTAAAATAAATAATTTTATTCAACTTCGCTTCCCTTTTTACAAGAGAAAGCACGCCTAATATGTATAGACTCATAAAAAAAGCCGATTTTCTAAAATTAAAACTCTAATTTTCTAATACTAAAAAGGGAACAAAAATAATATAAAGTAAAAGAGAAAATATTCAACTATATAATTTAGGAGATGTAATCCTAAACTTATGAGATTGCAAAACTTAAAAAATAATATAATTAATCTTAATATTTGACTAGACTCAAAATAAAAAACCATGACTAGTCTTACTAATTAAGAAAAGGAGTTAAGTCAAAGGATCACTAAATAGAAAATAATTAAGGAGACAAGCAAAGGATTATAAGGGACTCAGAATCACGTCACCCTTGACCTCTTCACTAGGGTTTCAAGTCTCCTTACTTGTAAGAGGCTCCACTTGTAGTCTTCCTTACATTAAGTTAGGATTTGCATCTCTTAAGCTTAACTCTTCATAGATTTAGGCTTGTGACACATCTTTTTCATGGAGTTCACCTTTTAAATGAATGTTTATCTCACTATTCACGTCCATATAGGTGCATGGGCTATTTGAGCAACCATTTGGGCTTGATAAGGTTCATTCACGTTCTGAAACTCCCATAGTCTATTAGGCAATGCATTGGGTTCCAATTTAACATAATAAAGCGGAAATACATCATATATATTCATATCAATCATTGCATACCTTTGAAACAAAGAAATAAGGTCAGATTATGGTTTGCACACTGTAGCGTGCACTACATGCACCACAACATGTGGTATAAAGCCATGAGCTTTGACCTTCTTTGTGCCATGCACTGCGGTGCACATGCTAGCTTCTATAGCTATCATTTAATAGCATACATGATGAACTTTTGACGTGTGTTATTTCCACATAGGACGTCCAATTAGAGTGATTCAAGTGTCTACATAAAGCCTAGCTCATAAGCTTACTAATGAGATAGGTTTGGATATGATCTAACAGTCTAATCAAAATTTAAACACTCAGATGCAAAAAGTTATTTTTTAAAAAATTTAGCACACCCAAGCACACAAGTCACTCATATTGTCTTATTAGACCGTTTTAAGCCTTAATCTAAATTCAAAAGAACCTAATACATTTGATTGACCATATTTTATATCATAAACACACATATATCACTTTTTAACTGTTTAACAACCCATTTTTACATTTGTAAACTAACTCATTTGGCCATTTTCACTATGAATTCACCATAAATTATAACTTTACACATTCACAACATATTTATAATTAAATCTTAGCCCTTGTTAATCATTTCACCACACATTTCCACATATGGGCTAAAATTTATACTACAAATCTCCCAAAAATTATAACTTAAACATGCATGCAATTCCTATAACAACTTATATATACAATATTCACATTAAGTCTTATTTCATTATACAAACTCAACGATTTCATAGCCACGGCACCATTATGCTGGTCCTGACTCTTTCCTCTTGCCTTGACTATTACTTTAACCTGTAAAAATAGGGTGAAGGGTCAAAAATGCCCTAGAAGTATAGAAAGATTACAAATAACCCTAAAGTTAACTATAGGTTATTTATATTCTTTAACCTTAAAATTCTTTGCTCCGTTACCTGCCATTTTCATTTTTTTCATTAGTGGATGCCGCACTTAAATTTTTTAATATTTTTTATTATAAAATATTTTATAGTAAGTCTCACCAATTTTTTTTAATGTAAAAAATACTTCTCTCTCTCCTCTACTTTATTTCTCTTTCTCTCCTTCTCTCTCTTCCGCAACCCCGTTACCAAAAATCCTTCAGTAGCCTCGAACTTCTTTGAGTTTCACAAATAGCACCATAGTGAAGTGTTTATCACATCGAAGTATGGTGGCTTCCTACCTTCCTCCACCTTCATGTTCATCACTCTCATCTTCAACATGTTCATAACTATTGCAACCACAAAGCTCGCAGTCACACAGGTTTGAATTTATGCAACTTTTATCAGTTATTAAGCTTCTATTGAATTTATTTCAACAACAACATGTCGGCATGACAACCATAATCCCAAGCAAGCTCCATACCATGTCCTTCTCAGTCCTGTCTCTGCCTCTGTCTCTTCTCTATCCTCCAACAAGGATCTCCAACAGCTTGTCTCTGTTTTTAAGAAGAGAAACAGGGGAGAACGATAGGGCATGCATGCAGGGTTTGAATGTCAAGCAAGCAAGGCCCTTCACGTGGGTTGGAAGAAGAAAGCTGGTACAAATAGATTATATGTGCTTGGAAGCCTGGGTTGATTTAGGAAGAATCAGAGATGCTTGACTCGAGTCTATTGAACGTGGATGCTAAGTACTATGCTGATGAGGAGAATGCTTATGACATGAGGAAGCAACTGAAGTGGAAGCAGCAGCATCATCATGTTTATACGGGAGACGGAGAGAGAAAGTGGGGAGGAGAGAGAGGGAAGAGGAGACGAAGGTGTCGTTCGATTTGCTATCCTTGAAGCTGGATT